TGATGTGTGTGTGTAAGCATCAAGAGCCTGCATGTTTTGCAAGAGGTAATTCCTCACCATTACATTATGATTGGAAAACTGAACTTTTCAGTTGTATTAGAGCTCTGGATTCTGGGTTTTATATTCATATCCCCCCCTCCCCCCGAGAAACATATTGCTCCTTATGGCTGCGGTCTTGATAGAAAAGAACATGGAAGAAGTATACAGGGAACACAAATAGTAGGAAGTGAAGTTGGAACACTTACACATCAAGTTCTGAAAAAGCCTGGGTAAGCTGTCCTATGTCTCTGGCAGGAAAGGAAGATAGTGGCTTAGGAGTTACAGTGATTCTCTACATTGCCACTGGATACTGTTTTAGTTACAGTGATTCTCTACATTGCCACTGGATACTGTTTTATTGTGCTGCTACAGCCTTACCCTTCTGGAGTTCCAGACTACTTTATACCGCTGCAGAAAGTAATCAGTCATTTACTTAAGGCACAGAGCGATGGACCTGGATCCAAAGGGGAGTGCGAGGGGAACTTCCATGCACTTTTTCATATCGTGTAGTTTTCTAGTCAGAGGTTGTCCTTGGAAGAACTGCCAAACTGCTCTATAAGTGAAAGGTGAGTGGATTCCCCTAGTCCTGCTCCATTATGCCTTGGATTTTAGTTTTCTGGATTGAAGGGGAATTTCAGAAAGTTGAAGACAAATTTTATGGAATAAAAAATTATTCCTTTGAAACATTAAAAAGAACTAGCTAGAAATATGATGGGGAATGTAATGGACTTAGAAGGATATCTACAACTTTAAAACAATTCAAAAGAAGTTTCCCTATGCAAAAATAATTTTTTTTAGATTATAATATTTTAAATTTTTGACACATGGTGTATTCTACAAGATAAAGGCAAAGGTTTCCCTTGCTCGAAAGCCAGTCGAATCTGACTCTAGGGTGCGGTGCTCATCTCCATTTCCAAGCCAAAGAGCCAATGCTGTCCGAAGACATTTCCATGGTCATGTGGCCGGCGAGACTAGACGCCGAGGCGCATGGAATGCTGTCTTCCCGCTGAAGCGGTACTTATTTATCTACTTGCAGTTTCTTGCTTTCGACCTGCTAGGTTGGCAGGAGCTGAAGCCAGAGACGGGAGCCCACTCCGTCATGCCGCACTCGGGTTTTGAACTGTTGAACTACCGACCTTCCAGTCTGTAGTTCAGCATCTTAACAACTGAGCCACCGCAGCCCCTAAAGTTTTACCTATGCAAAAATAATATTTTAAATATTTAAATTTTTGACACACAGGTGTATTCTACAAGATAACCCCCCTTCAAAATGAACCCTTTGCCGGCCATATTTTGGCACATAAACAGTTAAAGTGTTTTTGTTTTGTTTTTAAACAGTGTAATCCTAAGAAGAGTCACACCTTTCAGTGGGCTCAGAAGGATGTGATTCTGGATCACAATCTGATGACTCGGTCAGTTATCTGATTGGGTATGCCTGTTGTGACAAACTGACCTCCAAAACCAGGATACTTAGTGTGGCATGCATGCGTCGCCTTCTCTCTGATTGGTCAGTGCTAGTTTAGGAGAGCTTTAAAAAGTCTTGTCAGAGGGGGTCAGTCATCCTTTGGCCTTTGGCTTGGCAGTTGCCAGTCAGGGGGAGTGTGTGTGTGTCAGTCTGAGGGAAACAGACAAGTTCTCTTGGGAACTGAAGGGACACAATTCCTTGACCTTACTGTGTACAATCACGTTTGAGGAAAAGTTCAGGAATTAGAACTTAAAGTCTAAGTGTCAGCCCTCGCTGAAATCTGTTTATTCATAGTCTCCAGAACTGGGGTTTAGGTTTGACAGAAGAGACTGGACAGTAGGTTGAAGCTGCAAGTCTAGCCAAACAGAAAAGGATTATTGTTCCTAGAAAGAAGAGGATATTTCTTATCCAGTTATTCAGTGGGTTCAACTCAAGACAGGACCCCCCGTTTGTGTGAAAAGGGAAATAGTCTTAAGACTCCTCACGAGTCAAAGGGAAAGTTGAAATCCCACAAGGGTGGTGTTTAAATACAGGAAGAAAGTACTAACTTCCAGGAAACTAAGATAGTTATATGAAACTTTATTAGGACACATGGTTGCTGAAAGAAATCTCCAAGACAAAGAAACCTCTCATAGTTAAGAACTGAGTCTCAAAGAAAATAAGCTTCAACTATGTTGCCTGTTTCAAAATATTATGATAATTTGTATAAACAACAAAATTCACCTCACTTTCTCATCCTCTGTCTATTCCTAACCCAGCTTTGCTTGTTCAATAAAATCAACATTCCTGTTTGAACTTTACTTCATGTCAAGGGCCATTTACAAAGGGAATTATAAGAGGGTTCCTGCTTAGCTACAATAAATCTCTGGACGGGGCAAAAGCCAAATAACTTCTCTATCACAGGGTGGGACACGCAGAAAGTTATAATTCTATTATTATGGTATACTACAAAGGGGGCTGCTCAGTCAGAGTGGAAACAGTGTTTTGGCGGGAAAATCTGCCTCACAGTAAAGAAGTAGGGGTCCATCATACCTGTCTATAAGTAGTGTAGGATGAATACTCTGAAAGGCATGAACAACTGTGGAACGTGCATCTATTTTTTTTGCAGCGTGGCATGGACAGTCTTGGAGCATTCAGTGAGACATGACTCCTTATTTAAGGTGGCAACTGGTAAAACTGCATTAAATAACACTGCTTAATAATGGTTGGTTCTAGCTGGGGAAAGATTTCAGTGCCCATCAAAATGTCATCAAGAGTTTGGATTTATGTGATCCCACACATTTGGCTACTCTGCACAGTGTGGGGCTATTCCTGGAGGTAGAGTACAGCTTTTCCTGCACTCAAGATATGGGTGGTAATTGGATATGCCCTAGTTTGTAACTAGTCTTACAAAATAACCAATGGTCCTGCATGAGAATGTGCAACCCCACTGACGTAAACAGACAGCCATTTTAGTAGTTCTACCTTGCAATGGTGATGGAGCCACACATCCGCAGAAGCCCTTTCTGTACATATCCCTTGCGGTATTAGGGAACTTGCTTGAGGCATAATCCTCATGATGATTCTGGCTGACAAATGTCCTTACTGATATCAATACATGTCATTGCTTGTGGGGAAATGTCTACATGATGGAGCTTCTAAGAGCTTTGTCCCACTTTGTTGACTGCCGGGCTGACTAGCTGTTCAAATGTTCCTCTTCATGATGGCCATCATCACCTTCAGCTGCAGTTTATTACAGCTGTTTCTTCTTCCCTCGTTGGTTTTTCCAAGTTCTGCTTACGTATCCAAATGGCTCTGGGTTAATGGATTTTCTTCTCATTAGTGCATGTTTTTGTGTCCAGGAGCTTAAACATGTGTGGTAGGAAGAAGTGCCTTTCTCATCCTTCACAGATGTGCACTGTTTCTGAAAACTGTTACATTAAACCATGTGCTTATCACAGCAGTTTGAGAGCCTGTGTTGGGAATATGGCAGCTAATTCCATAGAGTGAGTTTTGTATTCAGGTCACTTGCCTTGTATCCCCAAAGGACAGGAACTTAAAAATGTCACTCAAAATGGCTGCCATCTAATTGCCCAGCTGGAAGAAGATGAATGGTCCAATGGTTTGTAAAAGTCAATGGCTGCCTTCTGTTGAAGAGATTGTATCTGCTTGTATACAAGGAACCAAAATAGTGATCTTTTCAATCATGGCAGACCTTCCCTGCTGCCTGCTGGTTTCAGCCAATGATATTGGGTGTGGAGAATATATAATGTTGCTCTAGCCTTTATTGGGGGGTAGATTCAACATGGGGATTTTTTTTAGAAATTCAGCTGTTGCTCCAACACTGTACCAAAAGAGGTGACCTGGATAATTTTCCCACTTGTGTTCAGGCCAGCATGTAAGGGTGCATTATTTTTGAGGGCTTTCTGCTGTCTATTAATTTTACAGCCATTTTCATGGAATATGACTTTTGATGTGGTTGCTGTTTGACTGATGGTGATACTGGTTTTACGGTTTTAATTGCTGTGTGTATTTCTGTGTAAGCATACTTGGGTAAACTTCCTTGGGCCTACTACATGAGGCAAGGCAGTTTATATTTTACCAAAATACATAGTTCCAGGTGATGGTAGTATATTTTTGCAACAGAAATTTGGTGTCTGTCATAGTTAGTTCTACTAGAATTATTACCATGTTGGTTGATCCCTGGAAGTTAAACACTGGATTGGATGCAGTGGAAAATTTCTGCTGACAGAAAAGGGTGGAGGGGGGAAGATTCTTGCCAATTTCTCCTCCCTTTGCAGACCTCTGACTCCCCCCAATGCTGTTGGTAGGAAGTGTCCTGTTTGCAGTAGTGGTATTTAGAGTTCAGCCAGAGAGGAAGTCCTATTCTGCTGCTGGAAATCCCTCCTACCAGCAGGGATTTTCAGCAGG